GGGTGAAGTTGTCCTGGTGCGGCGCGAGGGGGGCGAGCGGGCTCATGTCGCCGCCGCCGCCGCTGCGCGAGTACGCGTGGCCGGCGACGGGGAGAGGGGTGACGGCGACCGAGGTGCGATTTTGTTTCTTCTGAAGGCGGGTTCGGCCCTTGGTGACGGGCGGAGAGGGGGAGACGGGGTCGGCGTAGGGGCTGCCGGAGAAGGTGACGCTGCTGGAGGGGAGCATGGATTTGCGTCGGCCGCTGCCGGAGAGGTCCTGGCCGGGGACGTTGCCTTTTCGAGGCTCCGGCTCGGGAGCCCAGGTGTCTTCGGGGAGATGGTCGGAGGGGTCTACCTCGCGACCGTCGGGCGCAATGTACTTTTTGGTGGCTTCGTTGAAGTCGAGGCCCCCTGATGCCGGGTCTCGGAGGGCCGACGTGCTTAGCCTCGGGTTGAAGGAGTCGTACGAGTCCGGACCGAAAGGGATACCCGACAGCCTGCGGGGTTCGTCGGTCCGAGCGGGAGCGGGAGCTGGGCTCACAGACTTGCGTCGGATCGTGTGCTGCGGGTTGGGGCTCGTCCTCGGGTTGGGACTCGGATCGCGCGGCGAGTTCTGGGCGTAGCCTTGATACTGTGTCACGACGTTGACGCTAGAAGCAGACGGCCCCTCGTTGTACATGATCTGTCCCCGGCTCTGGGAGGGCGGCGGCTGAGAATGGTAAGACGGAGATGGGGCGTTGTAGGATGGCGATGGGGCGTTGTAGGATGGCGAGGGGGCGTTGTACGACGGCGACGGAGCGTTGTACGATGGCGACCTGGCCTGCTCGTACATTGGAGGTATCTCGCTCATGGTGCGACCCCTCGGGGGGGTATGCGTATCCATCACAGACGGTTGGGTGTTTCTCCGCTGGTGGGCCCGCTCCGCGACCTGCTGAGCTACTTTGGGGCCGATTCCGGGAATCAGAGACGCAGGAACAGGCGGCATGTAGTCGTCGTGAGCGCCATCCAGCTCGCTCCGCCGAACCAATGCCCTTTCATCCGACTGCGAGGGGTAGGGCACCAGAGACGTGTCTGAATTTCTCCCATATGGCCTTTGTTGGCCGGACACCTCCCTGGGGGATTGCACTGGGGGCGAGGGCGCGTATCCGTTGGAGTCGTGGCGGGAGTGCTGAGGCGGTGCCGCGGGACCACCACCGTAGTGCTGCTCTGGAACCGCGGGACCGTTGCTATATCGCTCCGGTACTGCGGGGCCGCCTGAGTAGCGTCGCTCTGGGGCCGCATCGAGAGGGTATCGGCTGCTCGCAGGCGCCCCTCGCCCAATATTCAGTGCTGCCGGGCTCGTACGCATGTCGTACTCGGGCTCGAGCTGCATCTGTGGCTGAGCTTGCGGAGCAAACGACCTCCTTCTGTTGTAGGAGCCGTGGATAGAGTCCGGCGACTCTGGCACATCCTCAACCGAGGCTTGCATGGGCGCCCGGTACGACGGATCAAAGTTGCCGTCGTATGAAAAGTGGCGTGGCGGCAAGGCCTGCTCCTGGCCCGAGTATTGGGAGCCACCTGAAACAGCCGAGGCCTTGTATTGGGGCCGCCCCGGATAGGCGGCCGTGTTGCTAGATTGCCGGATGGCTTCGTTGCGCAGCACATCCTGGCGCATGACGGCCGAGCCGCCGCTCTGGTAGGACGCATTCATCGAAGGGTTGCTGCCGGTTCCGCTCCTATGGACCGGCGGCGGCGGCGGTCTATCCTCGTCGAATGATCGCGCTCGGTGGGCCGCAGGCTGCTCGAATGGGGGGCGGTCAAGCGAGTCTTGCGACCGAGATCCGTATCGGTCAAAGCTCTCGCCATGTCCCATGTACTGATCGGGTCGATCAGACGGCCTGTATTGCTGCGGGGGCGCCTCCACATATCGACCAGAGCCCCCATAATCTCCATTGGGAGAATGAGCAGCGTAGGGGTCCAAGGGCTCTTGATAGCGAGCTGCCGTGGCTCCCGGGGACGGGCTATGGTACTCGGGGAGCGGCTGCGGGGAATGGGTCGGCTGGTAGGATGCCGGTAGCGGGCTGGGCTGCTGCCGAGAGGGCGGCGCTTCGATGGCTTCGGGAGCTGGCAGGGGCAGCTGTGGTTGCGGCGGGGCTTTGCCCGTGACGGGATCGGATGGCAGCGGGCGTCGCTTCGGCATGCTCCGGGGACCGGTCGTGGTGGTCACCGCAGGGAGCGGGGCGGCGGGGTCCAGGTCGGTGATGACCATGGGCTTGGCCTTGGCCACGGGCCTCTCGGGCTTGGGGCGGATGTCGTAGAATGTGATTTCGATGCGGACCTCGCCGGCGTATTTTCCCTTGTAGTTGAGCTGGTGCCACTCGTCGCTGTCGCCGCCGGCCGGGCCGATGATGTCGCGCAGGTCGATCCAGGCCTCGCCAATCAAGTCGGTCCTCTTGTCGTCGTTAAAGACGGACACCTTGAGCTGGTAGTAGTCTGGAGAGTCGTGGACGATGAAGCGGAGCTCTTGGTCCCTGTAGGCGGCGGCCGTGGTTAGCTTCGCGGGCAGGCAGGCCCTCGGCAGGTCCAGGAACTCACCACTTGGGGGTCTGGCCGCCGCGGATGTCGGTGGTCGTCTTCTTGGCCTCTTTGCCCAGACGACAGGCGCAGTAGGGGTCCTGCTTGCCAATGGTCTTGCGGTTGGGGAGGTTCTTTGCGCGGTCGACGACGACAACCAGGGTTCCAATCTGGGGGCCGTCGATCGTCATGGCGGAGAATATCCCCGCCGTGTGATTAAGGGGGATTTTCGTCTTGGACGCCATGATGTCTATCTGCCCTGGAGGGTCGTCGGGGGGGGGGGGGAGGGGATGGGCTTCGTTCGGGGTGGGTTGGGGCGAGGGGCTGCGTCCAGGTCGGAAAGGAGGGGCGGCAATTGTTTACTTGCCGCCTCGCCTTTGTTTGGTCGAGGTGTCGCGCCGAGTGACGAAAAAGTGGTGCGGGCAAGAGACAGAAGACCCCAAAATCGGCAGTGAAAACTCGAAAGAAAAGGAAAATGAAGAGATGGTCGATGAAACCCCCAACGATAGAAAAAATGGGAAGGGAGAGGACGAAGAAAAGAAGGGCTTCGTCGATGCACACGGGCGCGGATGGACGACGGACGCAGCTCGTTTTCGTTGCAGGCGTGGTTGGCCCGGCTCTGGGCGCAAGGCCTGTCGTGCCCTGCCGGGGAGCAACTCCACCCTACCACCGCCCAGTGGATGGTGGATGCCGCGGATGGCGTGCAGGGCTGGTTGCTGTGGTACGCTGGGGACGCTGGTTGGTTGATGTGTGTGGCTAGCCAGGTCCCACTCGAGGCGCGATTGGGGTGGCTGGTGGGAGAAGAACGCAGCAAGAGCAGCAAACCTGAAATGGACGAGGCTGGGCGCCAAGACTAGCGGATTCGCGGGCCTTTTTGGCAGTGGAATGCTTTCTTTTATCACATCAGGATTCACACCTTTGCCTCGAAACATGCGCTGGAATTGTGCTCATTGTCTGCCAACGTTTCCGTCTTCCTGTCTCGGGTACGGAGAGCTCGGGACCTCGTCGTACCCCGCCCAAGCTCTGCGCCACATTGTTGACTTTCCCGCCGAGCCTGTGTTGGTCCTGGATCAGCTGGGTGGGTAGCCCTGACATGTTACAGGGGCACCGGAACTTTTGTTGACGAGGATCTCTCCGCTAAAAGTTTATAGAGACGACATCACATACCACCGCCATCGGGAAACCCATGGCGTGAATTGCTGGGCTCTTTTTCCTTGTATTTCGCGCGCAAGTTGACTGCAAAGAAAATAGAAGCCGGGTCCCCCGCTCTCAGCCTCGGCGAGGCATTCTCTCGACGAGTGGACCTGGGCATGGATTGAAGCTTGAAGCACACGTCATCAGCAGTGCAATGCGCGCCTACGCCCTCGTCTAGGTGATGGATTCACGCAAGTTCATGCAATTGATGAGCAGACAATGCGAGAGCTAACTGCTGCGCATCAACGATAGGACACCTAGCATCTCAAGTGTGGAAGAGATGTCGCTGGGTGGCGAGGGCGGGTACCTTGGCCTATCCGAGATACCGAGCTTCTTGAAAGTTGAGAGTCGTCGTCAGCTTGCCCGATTCCTAAACAACAATAGGGGGAGGTTATGCCTTGAGTCCATCGGCCACGTTGCCACGGTTCTTGTCTTGCCACCGACTTCGGGAACCTGCCGAGCTATTATTAGCACATGTCAACGACTGCTCAACAACCGTGACGCACAATGACAGCCGTCATCATCGAGAGTGCTCAGAAACTCAGAGAGCGGTTTCTAGACTGTTGCGAGGCGCTGTGGCCGCCAGACCCTCAGTGGGCACGGTGGTGGTGTCGGTGCCGATGGTATTGACGCCGACTGTGGTTGACGTTGGCGGCTGTGGGGGTTGTGATGGATTCAAGCGACATATCGACCCGGTCAAATACCCTCGTTCACGTTGAAAATCGGCCCTGGCAATGGGAACGACTAGCCCGTCAACCAACTCGAACCGCCTCGATGGGAGTCAGTAAACCCCACCATACACCACCATGTGAGTATGGCTGTCAAGTTGACTCTGGTTTGGCTTCCGAGCCTCATCAAGCATGTTTTGTCGCGGGGTGGCAGAGCTGTCAAGAAATACATGTCCTGGTGGGTGCTATCCTCTCCTCGCTTGCCTTGGCCGATCAGGTCCAAGTCGGTCAAAACCAGAGAAGAAGACCAAGAGACCATCCCGTCCCTATGTGACATCCCCGGCACCGAAGTTGGGACTAAGCCTGATGATGGTTGGACCGTCTTGGCCAAGACATGGGCATTGGGATAACAGATCACACGTGTAGAAAGCACAGGCTCCCACGGCCGAGGTAGAAGCCATATGTGAAGAACACTATCTGTCCTTCGGATGTCCGATGCCTCGGGCCCGGTCAACCCCTCACTACCCAGTCGTCCGAACGACGCTTTACACGTGGTTCCCTTGGGACATGTACAGAAACCCATTCCTCTACTTCCAACAACAGTCAGGGAGGGTGGCTCAGTGGTAGAGCGCAGCGAACTTGCATTTGGTGTTTCCTACCTAAGGATAGTGAAACGTGTCCTATGATGCCGGTTCCTAAGGTCATGGGTTCGGATCTCATCTCTCTCTACTTTGTATTTTTACCTCTGCAGTACTGTCCCCGCGCAGGACATAAGCCAGGACACTTCCCTACCTTTCAACAAATTCAGTTCCAGGGTGGGTAGGTGGTAAGAGCGCAGCGAACTTGCATTCTGTGATTTCTCAACCTAAAGATCTACGTCAGCATGCTCGGTTCCCTAAGGTCATGGGTTCGAATCCTATCTCTCCCAACGCTCGTCTTTTTGTCAATCCTGTCGAACTTCCTACACAGGAATACCGAGGAGGATGACGGCACCTACGTTGAATCCGCCATTGATGCCACAGGACAGATCACCGCAGGAGCCAGACAACGCCAACTCCGTCAATTCACGAACTTGACACATCATTTCCCACAATAAATATAAAACTCACATGCAGGGCCATTATACCTAGATGCCCAACATGACTCCAAAAAGTCAACATCGCGACATCGCTAGCTCACACCGCTACGTCATCCGCCAAGTCGCCCACACGGCTTCTCCGTAGCTTCTATCGATAAGCCCTCCCCTGTTCTGCCTGTCATCGTCGCCAATCCCCGACGATGCAACGACGCGCACCCTCCAGCCACCACCACACCACCACCACACACCTATAGGGCTGAGGCACGATGTTGTGCCACCTATCCGAGAGATCTCAGCCCCTTTTGATCGGTGGCATCTAAAAAAAAACTCCCTTTCACTGCCCCCCCGCGCGTGCATCGATTGATCGATCGCGCTTCCCGAGAGGACGGACTATCCCACCCCGGATCTAACCGGCAGCCCGCACCGCCGACCTGGGAGAGGAGAAGCGGACGGCAGCCCGAGTGGTAGTGCATCATCGCCAGAAATAATCATCTCCCCTTTCCACCCCCCCCCCCCCCTTTCCCCCAAAACCTCCCCTTCTCCACCCCCCTCCCCGAAAGGAACAATGCCCGACGCCCCGGAGTCCACCCCCGAGCCCGTACCCGGCCCCCTCAACTACATCCTCGGCTTCCTCCTCGTCGGCGTCGCCTGGGGCCTCACGACGCCCTTCATCCGGCGCGCGGCGAAAGACCACCACCCACCACCGCACGCGATCCTCGACACGCCGGCGGTCCGCGACAGCTGGTGGCGGAGCCGCGTCTACGGCGCGGCGCTGGGCGTCGCGGACCTGCTGCGGAACCCGCGGTACGCGGTGCCGCTGGTGGTGAACCTGACGGGGAGTGTGTGGTTCTTTTTGTTGATTGGGAAGGCGGGTGAGTTTTCTCCCTATTTTGTCTGGCGGTGTGGGGGGAGGGCTGATATGGGACAGAGTTGAGCTTGACGGTGCCGATTGTGAATACGTTGGCGTTTTTGTTTACGGTGGTGGGGGATTGGTGGGTGGAGAGCAAGGTTATTAGTCGAGGTACGGCTTTCCGTCCCCTTGTTTTGGGTGTGCGTTGGCTGACAGAGATAGAGACGATGGTGGGGATGGTCTTGTCGCTTTCGGGGATTGCGCTTTGCGTGCATAGCAAGAATGTGTCATAGGGTGTGTTGTCGGGGGAAGGGGGTTGTGTGAGCAGGTGTATATTTACAAGCACTGCGTGTTTCTCGTGTGCCGTCAAGTATGTATATACGCTAGGCAAGAAAAAGATCTACTGCCCCGGGCAGTGGGAGTCTTTAAATCCTGTTGCCTCTCTGGTGTTCTCTCGTGCCCCTTCCTTTTTTGTAGTCCCCCATTCCCTCTCCATTCCCCCGCCACATCATCGGTCGTCCCCCTCCCTCTTCCCCCCTTCCTCACTACCGCCTCCCAAACCCCAAGTGAACCGAGAAAGACAGTTATACACACAGACCGCCAAGGAACCAGTCCCAGCAGCCTCGAAAGGCGCAAAAAGATGTACAAGCGAATAACGGGTAAGCGAACCAGAACCAAAACCAGAAAAGACAGCGTATCCACAAGCATAATTTCTCCTTTCTCCTTTGTTTTATACCCCCCTCGTGTATCCCATGGGTATCCCGAGTACTGCAAAAAAATGAAGAGACGTCCGTTTATGGAAAGGAAAGAAGGCGAAAAAGTGGTGTGGCGAAGAGGAAAAGGGAGAAGACAGGTGCCATGCTGTCAGGCCGTGTTGGCATGTGTTGTTGTGTTGGTTTTCGTTGTTGTTGTTGTTGTTTTTGTTGTCGTCGTCGTCATTGTCGTCGTCGTTGTTGCCGTTGATGTCGTAAGTAGAACCGAAGAACGAAAGGACGGTGCTGCCGGAGCAGGAAAAAGGCGAGACAGTCCCAGAGATAGTTGGTGGGTGTCCGTCGAAATAAAAGAGGTTCGTGGAAAGCATTGCCGGGCTGATTAATAGTGGAGTCGGGGATGCGACAATATCTTTAGTGTTGAGTAGTCGTTCATCGTCCGTCGTTCGGGTCGTAATGGTTCGTGGTCAATGTTGTTGTTGACAAGCAGCGACAGAGTTGACAGCCGGGAATACCCCCTAGCCCCGGCGAGACCGCACCCAGCGCTGGACGGCCCGCAAGCTCGGGTCCTCCGCGGTCCAGCGGCCCATGCCGGTGTCGGATGTGTGGAGCTCGGCGTAGACGTACTCGTCGGTGATGATGGACAGGTCCTGGGCTTATTAGTTGATGCGACGGAGACACAGACGTGGCCAGACAAGGGGAAACACACCGAGCGGAGCTGCTGGTCAAGACTCCTCAGCTGCGAGTTCACCTCCGAGTGAGACTGCCCTCCCATGAGGACCTGCTCCCGCCACTGGATCCAGCGCTGCGCCGCCGTCTGGCGGAGGTAGATCTTTTGGGCTTCGTGTCGGCGGGAAAAGGCGTCGAGGTAACACCTAAGGGCTGTTGTCAGTGCTAGGTCTTGTGATGTGGCTTCTTGTTGAGGAGGAAAAGGGCGAGAGGGAGACACACTGCTTCAGCACGGCCTTTTCCTGCTCGGCCGACCCCCCGGACGCGCCCGGCACGCTGGTGTCGGCGCCCGTGTCGAGAATTCGCTGCCCGTCGATCATGCACTGGCGCATGGCGGCCCAGCCCTCGGTGAGGTAGTCTTCCGAGTTGTCGGGGTCGACGGGGACGCTCGTGATGATGTACTGGAGCCCGTAAAAGTCGCAGAGAAGCTCGGCGACTCGCGCCCGGCGGTATTCGTTGACTAGAGATGCGGCAACTGTTAGAGAACAGACGTCACTCGGGTCGTCGGGGTTGCGTCGGGCTGGGACCGATGGGGTGCAAGGTAGGGCAAGGCAGGGGAAGCATGGCTTGGGAGAGATGGTCAGGGGGCGGTGGCACCTACGTCCGTCGCTCATAGTGCCGGCTTCGTGCAAGGGGTAGATGTTGTTGGCGGTGAGCTCGGGAGAACAGCCTCTGCAAGAAAGAGAAGATGGCGCGGGAAAAGAGTTAATATCAACAGTCAGAAAGGGACTCAGAGTCCGGGACGGCGTGGGCAGAGAGCGGCAGCAACTCGACGAGGCTGAATGGGGAAGAGATTGGCGTCAGGGTGCAAAGGCTGGTGGTCTGGCTTGCTGGAGATAGTGACACTGTCCCAAGGAGGCGACATCCGGCGACTTATGTAGACTCGCCATCTCGACTCACGATGTCGAAGAGATGGAGGAGGACACCAACGTCGCATCGATGAGATTTTTTCCAAGAGGGAGGGACGAGGCGGTACGTATCCAGCAAGGCCTGTGTGTCGTGCGTGTGTGTGTGCTGTCCCAAGTCGATGACCCCCTCTATGGAGTGCTGTTGAGGTAGGGAGCACCTCGTCTCCTTCGGCGTGGACTGGCCAGATCATCTCTCTCCAGACAACGTTCATGGACCGCCTCCACCAGCCGTTTTCCGCGGCATGCGGGCTGATGAGATGTGTAGCACAAGAGCGAGCGAACGACACCCCGCGAAGCTCCCCCGACGAGGGTGCCATCCTGTCCAGCAGCGAGCTAGCAGAGAGCAACGAGGAGAAGGCCCCTACCGAGCTGGGAGACGGTGCTTGATTCCCACCCCCCCGGCCCACCTTCTTTCCCTACAAGGCGACGGGCGGGCGCCCACTAATATCGACGAGAAGCTCCGGACGTCTTCTCCGACGATGTTTGGACGGTGGCCCCTGGCGGCGGTTCCTGCAGAGCGACTGCACAACTGCAAGCCGGTGCAAGGCCGCAAGACCATCCTCGACGCCCACGGCGCCGATGCTGGCGAGTCCCTGGCAGTCCCTGGGTGTGTTGCTGCGGAGGAGGCAAGGCGCGCAATGCCACTGGCCAGCGGCGCCAACGCGAGTTATGACGATGGAGTCCCCCATGCAGCCGAAAAGAGGCTCGAGGGAGGCTCTCGTGTGGCTTGGCCGCGTCGTTGGTGTCGTCAAAGGGTGTGTGGATTGGAGTGGATTAAGTGTTGGAGGTGGCAGTCCGGAAGTGGAAACTTTGACGAGCTTTCAGCGACGCCACAGGCCGTCGCAGGCCCCCCTCCCCCCCCCTTGGCCCCCCCAATCCAGCACCCGACTCCACTACGCCCCGGGAGGGAGCCGGGCACCGCATGCCGGCGCCGACCAATCGCCGGGCCTACCGCCATCACTGCTGCGAGCAACATCTGCCCGACGCAGAGCTGAGGACGATATTTTGGCATCTGAGGCATGCACACTGGAGTACTGGAAGCCGATCGGTCCTGTCAGGAACCGCCGTGCCTCTGTCACGAATATGTGCGCCGTTAGACTGCCCTGATCGGGTCGTCGTCCTGTGGCCAAGCGACCAAAAGAGTTTGGAGAGGAGGGTGTTGATCAGCTTCGCAGGGCTGCGCCGACCCCTCCCGGTCCACGTCCCGAGGCCATCGAGGCCCGTCCTCAAGGGCCCCGTCCCCTCGTCCCCCACACGGCAAGGCATACTTTGGCATGCCCACCTACACCTTTCCCGATCCCACAGTCCCGGGAAAGGGAGGGAGGCCAGCAATAAGCATGACAAAGGCTGGTGCATGGACCTGCTGGTGCTCTGATGGTGTCCTGGCTGCGTGCCTAGTGGTCGCCCTACAAGCCATCCATCCGAGACCAAGAGGCAGGCAGGGTCCATATCG